AGAGTGTTTTAGATATTAAAGTTTGAATTTTAAGCCTATCTTTCATAAGGACAAAAATCCTTTTTTCTTTTTTTCCCCAAATCGTGCAGCCTTTTGACCTTCCTCAGTGAAGTAGCCCCAAATGGCAGCCCATTGCCAGCCTCTCTGGAGACCCCCAGATGGAGCCCACCTATTTTCCTGGGGTGCTTACTGTAGCTTTGCTCTTGGGTCTGTGGTGTAACCAGCCCGCCAGGTGTGCTGTGCACGGCCATTGGTGCTGAAGGTCACGGACATGGCTTTACTCCATTCACAAGCTGAGATGCTTTTTGCTAAGAGCACATCTGGGCATGCCCAGAGCTTCCCTGGTGAATTTTCCAGGTGAGACTTTCTAAGGATAAGGCCACTTACTTAGGTCTTGCATACTCAGAGACAAGTGAACAGTGTACCTCCTCGAGTGAGGGAAATCTAAACCAAATTGTCTAGATCCCCTTGTTTCAGGGGCCGTGGAATCCCTGTGGTCCATAGGCTGCACCAGTGGTGGTAACATTTTAAAATTAGTTGCTAATGTTAAAAACTTGGGAGATCTCTTATAGAATTGAAGTGTCAACTTCTCTGGAAGAGTTCAGGAGATCTGGCAGAACTGGGTTCCCTGAGTCTCCACCTACCTGCCTCCTCCCCATCATAGGGTCCATGCCTGGGCCTGGAGGGCAGCGAGGGCACTTCTCCCAACTAGATCCAAACAGGGACAAGTGGCATGAACCTATCTGCAGTATCAGGCCACCACGCGGGAGGTGGGGGGCAGCCTTGGGGGCTGGGGTGAGGATCAGGGCCCGGATCCATAGATGGACGGGGCCAGGCCTCAAGCAGCCTCCCGACCCCAGTGGTCATCTACCCTTGAAATAAACCTCATTGGCTTCCTGTCTCTTTTACAAAGTAGTTGTGGGCCTGATGAGTTTCAGGGGAGGGAGGAAGACCTGGTTCCAAGGACCAACTCACCAAAGAGACGGTTGTTGAAGTGATTCAGGTTTTGACCTCAATTCTAGACTAGAAGGTCTTTAGGCTTTATTTGGGAAAGGGGGACAGTGAGAACTCTAGTTACCTTGTTGTATTGCAATTAAAATATTCTTTATAGGAACACCTGGGTGGCTCTGTCAGTTAGGCGACCGACTTTGGCTCAGGTCACGATCTCTAGGTTAATGAATTCAAGCCCCGTATCGGGTTTTGTGCTGACAGCACGGAGCCTGGAGCCTGCTTCAGATTCTGTGTCTCCCTCTCTCTCTGCCCCTCCCCCACTTTCTTTCTGCCCCTCCCCCACCTCTCAAAAATAATATTCTTTTTAAAAAATATGATAACAGTCATGAGGTCTCAGAAATAGCTGGGACTGTAGTATACAACTTTTTCTGAACCGTTTGAAAGTACATCGCTGAGCTGACCTTATCACCCCTCATCCTTTACTGTGTCTTTCATAACAAACAGCACCATATTCTACAGAACTGTGGCACCCTGGAAACCAGAGGATTACAGATGGTCATTGCCACCATCTGGCCATCATACCTCCGACACTGTTGCCAACTTCCCAACAGTAGCCTTCACAGGAAAGGATCCTGTTCAGAGTCAGGTGTTACATACAGCTATGGGGGTCTTTCAACTAAACTATAAGGGGATGGACGCCAGAAAAGAAAAACTTAGTGGCCAAGAGAAATATCATTTTAATGCAACGTTTTAAAATTTGAAATTTGCACAGTGAGCAAAATATCAGAAAGTTAAATAAAGGCAAGTTCAGCATTGCTGATTTTTCCTTTGCCTCTGGCTTCAATATGGCTTTGCACAGCGCTGTTCCTTACTCTCTTGGAGTCTAGAATAGTTCCTCACTGTTCTCTTGACTTTCGTGACCTTGGCACTTGCCAGTGTCAAGCCAATTACTCTGTGGAAGGTCCCCCTTCATTGGGGGTTTGTCTGCTGTTTGTTTGCTCACGATGATTTGGGTTCTGCACTTCGGGCGGTGACACGGTGTTCTCGCTGCGTCTGACCCCATGGCCCACGTTTCAATTTGCCTCATTGCTGGTGGCCCACTTGTTGATCACTCTGTTAACAGGCTCTGTCTGCCTGTCAAGTTTCTCTTTTCCCCTTTATAATTAGTAAATATTTTGTGGAGAGGTGCTTTGAAACTATGTAAAAATAGCCGATTCCTATACAACTTAGGATTTGTTCTTAAGTATATCTGTATGGACTCATGGTTTCCTAGTTCATTCTTGGACTGGAACCTCCAAGAGGGATTATTTATTTCGATTTTCAACTGGTCTCAGTTTGGCCTTGTAGGTGCCTTTCAAGTCTGGCTCCCGTGTGCTGGTGATATGTCTCTAGAGTTCTTTGCATCATTTCTTACTCTCTTCCCAAATGTGGTATTACAGATTCCTCTTGCACTTTCCCTGCCCTGACCCTGGAATCAGCCATTTCTCCAAAAGCCCTGGTTCCTTTTAGTAGAAAATGGTACTTAGAAGCCAAGACCCGGGCTCTGGGTGGGTTTGCCACTGTTTGAGTGTTGCTTCTCACAGGCCTGTCCAGTGAGGGGAGACACGTGTGCACACGCTGGTGTGTCTGCCTATCTCTTTGTCTGTCTATCTATCTATCTATATATCTGGAAAACTAAAATCACATGGCTGTCCAATTCCAATCCCAGCACCACAGAGTTCTTTCTAGTTTTCTTGTCTAACGGTGAGAAATCTCTCCCACTACCCCAGGGTGTTAACTGTATTTGATCATTCTCCCTGTGGGTAACCAAGGTGCCATGTGTTCTGTCTACGTCTCACGGTGTGGACAAGCTCCTCACCCACTTGGGCTCTGACACCCAGGCTGGGCTGCTCTCTCCCAGGGCAGACACTCTTGCAACCTGCTCAGGGCCACCCCAGGTCTCCCCTTGTACCCTTGGTGCCCTTCCCCCACACACCAGAAGCCGTGCTGTGCCCCACATGGCTTTAGGACCTGCATTTTTTCAGGAGGAGGAGCCTTACTTTTGTATTTTTCAATCAAAATGAAACAAAAATAAATACAAAAGTAGCATTGGGTTTAGAAATCTGATAAAGTGGCTAATTCTAGATGGCTGCAAAGAAATCTTTAACCAGTAAATGGTTTAAAAAGAAGACCTTCAAAGTAAAGATTGTAGAGTTTTTCAGATGGCTCTTTGTGAGTGTTAAAGGTATATGTTGAGGCCAGATATATAATATAATATATATAAGCAATATATAATATATAAACATCCTCATAGGAGGCCAGACCATTCGGTTTGGCAACTTCAGGGAAGAGAAAATGAAGGCTGCTAAGTAAAAATTAATGATTTTTCAGGAATTTGTAGGAAGTTGAGCAGCTTAATTGCATGCTTTGGGTGGATATGTGTTGAAGAAAGTAATTTTAGGAGACTAGGAAATTGTGCAATAATCTTAACTTGGGTCAGAATTGTAATTATTGCAGTAACAGAATGTTGCTATGTGTATATGTGACCGAAATGGGAAGCAGGTTTTTTTCTTCTTTTTTTAATGCTTTAAAAAATAACAACAAAATGTCCATTCTCCCTCTTTGGACTTCCTTAATTATAAATACCAGGTAACTCAGTTCTGGCTAAATATAGGTTCAGTGGCCATCTATATTTATAACTTTCTTCAGGTAGGAGTCACCAGAGCAAGACAGAATTAATTTGGTGTGTAGGTTTTTTTATAGGCTCTAATTAGTTATGTTTTTCTTAAGCAGACCAACTGGGATCAATACTATTATATAACTGAACTCTGATGCCCGTGACTTTTAAACATAGACTCTTCCCCAGAAGCCAGAGGCCCTCAGAAGAGGCCAGCCCTGAAGACCAGCAGGTCCGGAAGCTGGCATGCTGCAGCTGCGAGCAGACAGGGCTCGAAACATCTGTTTCCAGCCAAGGGCAGGCTTTGGGAGTGATAAAGTGAAGAGTTTTTTGCAAAGTCAGATGTCTCATCTACAGCCCATTCATTTCTGAGACCTTGGATCGTGACATTTCGTGGCTGCTTATCAGCTGTCCCCGTGAGGCAGATTTAACTGTGTGAGCCTGGGGAGGTGGGAGTGGCATTTTTGTGCACTGACCAAAGCGTGCATTTAGCCAACCCCCCAGCCCCCCAACCCAGCGTGCTGACTTGAGAGCTCAGGGAACCACACCTGCATCTGAGGTCACATTCATTGGAGGGCTGAGTGGGCGGCTGGACCTTTGGAACGATCCGATGTCATCTCGGGTGGATTTGGCATGCTCCTCAGTGACTTTGCTGCAAATCAAACGTAATATATCAGATGGGGCTCTTCTCCACCATTCCTTGGGATCTGCAGAAAACAACAAATCATCTTCTTTTTCTTCAGGAAGGCAGGGTACACCCCAGCCGCCAGCACCCGCAGATCCCTCGGGCCTCACACCTGCCCTGTATGAGCAGGGAGGTGATTTGAAGCTGGAAATACTCAAATTTACAGGAAAAAAAAAAAAAAACCTGAAAAACCAAAACGGGACAAGAGAGGCTCTTCCTGTCAACATCCCCAGCCCAGGCCTCTCCCCCGACACACTTGGCTTCTGCCCCTTCCTTGTTTGGCTTTGCAAGCTGTTTATACTCATCCCTCCTGTAGTCCCCAAGAGTCTTCCTCTCCAAGGCCAGTTAGCTTGCCATGAATGAAGGGTGCCAGGCCACTTGGATGGAAGTGCAGAGTCCTGCATGGCCTCTCGCTCAGCCTGCACCCGTGGGAGTGGAGCTCAGAGGAGCTGCATGGGGCCTAGCCCAGGCCACACAGCGGGTAGATGGTTGCCTGACTCCACAGCCTCAGCACCGTCATGAGAGGGGAGGCTTAGAGAGAACCTGAAAGGCAAGACAGCAGTCACTGGGCTGAGAGGCACGGGGTCTTGGTTGGCCCCAGGGCCACGCCGGACAACTATATGTAAGGCAGAGAGGGGAAGACGTGTGTGTCCTTCCAGTATCACTTGAAATCTGTTCATTTCACCAAATATGTTTTGAGCTTCTGCCATGCACCAGACACTGCCAGGGCCTGAGGATTTACAGATGACAGTTCCTGCCTTTGAGAGCTTACCGTGGAAGGATGGAGGGAAGGTGGGTTATGATAGCCACATGTGTGCAGACTTGATCCTGGAAGGTCCAGGAGGGCTTCCTGGAGGCAGTGATAGCTCAGGTGATGGTTAAAAATGGAGTGGGAGGTAGTCTTATTGGTGTGAAGGGGCTGACACACAACAGCAGCACCCAAGGACAGAGGTGATGCCACCAGGGCCAGGCCTTTGGCCAGAGAGGTGGCCTGGCCTAGTGGTGGAGATTCTTATGTGCCCCATGAGGGGCCAAGGCTTTGTTGTGGAAGGGAAGGCAGGGCTGGGGTAGGAATGGCAGTACAATGGTGCAGAAGAGGGTCAGAGGCCAGCCAGGGCCCTGCTTTGGTCCTAGTAGAGCAGTGGGGCCACCTACACTGATGTGGGGGTGATGGGGTTCAGCCAGGCTTGAGAAACTTTCAGCAGGTCACTTCCAGAGGGTTTGGTGACACTGGACACCTGTGGAAGGTGTGGCACCATTTACCAAGACAAGGGACTCCTAGAGAGGAGGAACAGATCTGGAAGGAGGTGAGGGTGGCAAGAAGATGCTGACCTCAAGATGGCGGCTCTAGCTGTGGCTCTGGTTGTGGTGGGGAGTCATCTGGGACGTGCACATTGGGGGCTGCTCCCCTCTATGCTCAGCCTGGAATAAGGAAACCAAGATGGTGAGGCTGTGACCCTGCCCCAGCAAGACTCAGCCTGTACAGCACAGATGTGCTCAGGACCCAGGTGGGTGGGAGAGGCTTCCCAGAAGAGCTGGTGTGGAGCTAGCCTGGAAGGCCCAGCGAGGGAGGGGCAGCCTCCTGGAAAGGGACTCGACACAGTCCCTGGATACAGCTCAGCATCTCCTGGGAAGAGGCTTTGGCATACCCGTGTGTGGCAGCAGCCGGGACCCCAGGAGCCGGAACCTTCATCTGGGGGTGGGCCTGGCTCACAGCCAGCATTCATGCTATCAGGTGATTCTGACCAAGGTAGTGGCCTTGGTGGCCCTCAGACCCAGAAGTTCTGAATTAGAGCAATTAATAGCAGCCTCAGGAGGTCCTATTGGATATCAGGGCTGTGGGAAAACCAAAGACTTTCCTGGTTGCATTTCAGAGCCATTTATTTGTGAATCTTGCATAAACACCCCAGGCAACTGTATACATACATATACAAACATATCTGAATATGCACATACATGTATATACACACACCCACACATCTCTGTGTACATACATACACACTCATACATGCACACACATATACACACATATCTGAATGCATACATATATATACCCATAAACATCCATATACATGTACGCATATATTGCACACTGCACATCCATATACATGTGAACATGCATGTATACACACATGTTTGAATGCGTACATATATACATGTGTGCATATATATGCATAAGCACACATATCCGTGTGTACACATGGGCACATACACTCACATGTGGACGTAATGGAATAGATACGTGCATGGAATATATGTCTCTCAGGATTTCTGCTTGAAATGGAGAGTGGACGCCTGTTGAGCCACTTGGCCCTGTGTGAACACACCTGCAATCGAGGATGAGAACCAAGATGACTGGGAACCCCCCCATGGCAACCAATGCTGTGAATGTGGCAAGAGGCAGAAGGCATGATGGTTATGAATGGGAACTCCGAGGTCACGTCCTCACTGTGCTACTCACTCAAGATATGGTCTTGAAGTAGTTACTTCACCACTCCGTGCCTCAGTTTCCCCAACTTCAGGATGAGGATAGCATAAGGGCGTCATGACAGTCAAACAAGTGAAGGCATCTAAAACTGCTCTCCTACTGCCTGACACATGGCATGTGCTCAGCAAGTGCCAGCTGCTCTTGACGTGAGCCAGGAGCACCCAGTAAATGTTGGGGACCCTCAGTGGCTGGGAGATGGGAAGGACGGAGAATTGCCATTCCCTGCGAACTCTGTGTGCTTTTGTACTATGTATATTTTGTACCATGTGCAGACATTATCTAGACTTTTATTTATTTATTTACCTATTTATTTTAATGTTTAGTTATTTTGGGGGTGGACAGAGAGACAGGGGACAGAGGATCTGAAGCAGGCTCTGCACTGTCAGCACAGAGCCAGACCCGGGGCTCAAACTCACAAACTGTGAGATCATGACCTGAGCCGAAGTCAGACGCTTAACCGACTGAGCCACCCAGGCGCCCCATCTAGATTTGTTAAAATAGAGTACCCCATTAAAGAGAAACCGTGCTTCAACTGTCTTCACTGTGGATTCTTTGATCTCATTTCTCCCAATGCTCTGGCCGAGAACGTTTAGCAGGGTTTTTAATGATGTTTTAATGATGTTACCAATTTTATCAACTAATGTGTATAATTACACATCAGTGATGAGTAAAGAGACCTGAGTGTTACATATTCAGAAGATTGTTCACATTCTTGGAGGGGGTTACTAACAGACTGGCTCTAATTAATGCATTGTGAAAATACCATGGACAGGAAAGAGAAAAGGCACTGAAATTTTATGTTGTGACTTAAAAAAAAACAAACAAACAAAACACTCTGCACACCAGAGATCAGATTCATTGATGGAGAGCAAATTGAGGTTCTGGAAGGGCTCAGAGCTGGGCAGGACAGGCAGACAGCCTAGGATGCTGGGGGAAGAATTTCTCTCTCATTGTCAAGGAGGAGAAGGAAGAGGAGACTGCCAGCACCCTCAAACAGCGATATTCTGTGGAAGCCACTCACCCCATGTTTATAAAGGCAGGCTGCTTCGATACTGGCTTGAGAAGCGGTACACAGAGCACGTGAGTGGTGACTCCCAGAGGCCAGTGAGGCCTGGGGTAAACACTGTCCCAGGCCGTGGCTGAGGGACAGCAGCACAGGATGGCCCAGACTGCCAAGTTGGGAGGAGTAGCTACTTAATATCAGTGCAGAAGTCATATCAAAATAATGATATTTCCTCACTTAGGAAAGTGAATTCAAGATCACCTTGAATTCAAGTCTTTATGCCACCCCAGCTTTTCTATTTATCCTTATGGTTCCAGCTCTTGTCCATTTGACTCTGAAGATGTACCAAAAGTGTTGCAATAATCCTAAGCCCTAATTTGCGTGTCTCTGTGTCATTTGGTGTCAGATGTTGTCACCTATTCATCTGTGGCCAGGTGGGGTGGGAGGGATTGTTGGTTCAGGAATTGGGAAACCCTGAGAGTAACAACTGGGGATAACTCCCTGGGTGGTTTCCCATTTATAAAATGGGACCATTCCCAAGGTTCTTTCCCTTCTCTGTAGGTCAGGACCATGTGACAGGGACACATGGGACATGTCTCTTACGTTTAACCAGGCCAGTGGCCATGTCCCCAATGATGCTGCTAGAGAATGGAGGCTTCCCAGCCATTCTGTCCTCTTAGCTCATGTAGGTACCTGGAGATCTTAAAAAGCAGCTCCCTAAGCTGGGAGGGGCATTAACTGGGGTGGCAGGCAAGGTGAGAACCAGAGGAATATTTAGATGGGGTGGGGGAGGAGAAGGAAGTAGGAAATAGCTCCTAAATCATAAATGCTGCATCAGCCAAGCGAGATGACTTTCGCTTGGCTGTGTTCCATGAGCAGTCAGGTGCACCCATCTACTGCCCCCTCCTTGATCCTTTCTGACCTTTTGGCCATGATGAAAACCTCATATTCCTGACCCATGCCTGATACCAGGGGAGGGCCATGGCAGAGGGCAGGATAGTGTGAGTCAGACAGATGTGAGTGACCTCCTGGGGCATCCGACAAAGAGGGCTCCTGGAGAAAGGGCAGCTCAATGGCCACATGAGACGCCACAGGTGCTGGGACAGCAGCTGCACCTATGTTTCTAAGCAGAGCCCCTCAGCATGTGGACTGGTGGTCCCCAACTTTTGGAGAAGCCATGTTCATCATCAGAGACTTTGCTGGACTCCCAAAGTATGCTCAGCAGCAAATGCCATAAATCACAGGTTGGCAAACATTTTCTGTAAAGGCCACATGTGAAATGTTTTGGGCTCCTGAGCCAGAGGGTCTCAGTAGCACACAATTCTGTCATTGTAATATGAAAGTGGCCATGGGCAGTAGGTCAATGAATGGGTGTGGCTGTGCTCCAATAAAGCTTTATTGATAAAAACACAAGGTGTATATAGCATTGAAAGCAGGTTCATGAACAGGTATTTGCATACACATGCTCATAGCAACATTATTCACAATAGCCAAAGGGAGGAAGTGAAAATCCGTGTGTCCATGAATGGATGGATGGAAAACAGAATGTGGTATACAAATACAAGGGAATATTATTCAGCCTTTAAAAGGAAGAAAGTGTTGACAAATGTCACGACATGGATGAACCTTGAGAACACCATGTTTAGGGAAATAAGCCAGTCACAAAAGGGCAAATGATTCTACTCATATGAGATATCTAAAGCCATCAAACTCACAGAGACAGGAAGTAGCATGGAGTTTGCCAGGGTTTGGCGGGGAGGCGGGAATGGGAGTTCATGAAATGGGTGCAGTTTGGGGAGAGAGAAAAGTTCTGGAGACAGAGGGTGTCGTTGGCTGCACAACATTGTGAATGTACTCAGTGCCGCTGAACTGCACACTGATAAATGGTAAATGTTATACTATGGTATAACCTGGCAAATGTTATACTATGTATATTTTACCACAAAAAAAAAAAAAAAAAAAAAAAAGTAAGCTAAACAGGAGATAGACCAGATTTGGCCTATGGACCATAGTTTTCTGATGCCTACTCTGAATTAATGAGTATTTATTTATTTATTTATTTTTAAATGCTTATTTTTTACAGAGAGAAAGAGAGAGAGAGAGGGAGGGAGAGAATGAGTGGGGGAGGAGCAGAGAGAGAGAGAGAGAGAGAAAGGGAGGCAGAGAATCCCAAACAGGCTCTGCACTGTCAGTGCAGAGCCTGATGTGGGGGCTCAAACCCATGAACCGTGTGATCACGACCTGAGCTGAAATCAAGAGTCAGATGCTTAACTGACTGAGCCACCCAGGTGCCCCATCCTCTCCTTCTCTTACCCTTACAGTAATTCCAGTACTTTCTGTCCTGTGCTGCCCTGAATCACACTATCTGGCCTCAAATCTTTGGCCATGAGGAAGGAATGTGGCTGCTGCCCACCCACTCATGCCAACTCTCCATAAGGACCCAGAAGGTGGAGAGAGGTGTTCAGAATTTCAGGGACCCTTGCAGCTGCTGTCAGATTTATGAACAGCCGGTGGTCTGACCCCCTCACTGGTTTTTCTGAAACACATTCCAGCTTATTCTGCAGCTAACCTTGCAGGGGCAGGAGGACAGCCTTGGCTGGTGTCCCCTTCTCCTCTACATTGGGAGTGGTCCTTCCCGAACCCCCCAGTCCCTATGCTGGGCTGGACATACACTTCCAGACAGATGTGGCACTGGTCACCACTGCCACTGGGGCTGGTTTGCCAGGTCAGCCCTGGGGAGCATCTGTTCCTCCCATGGATTGCTCGAGGAGAGCAGCCCTCATTAGCTCAGACCCTGGACACCATTGCTAAGGATGATCATGGTGGCTCAAAGGCAGGGAGCTGGGTGGTGGTGGGGTTGGCTACCTCTGGCTTGGCTTGGCTGCCCTGAGGCCAGGTGCTGCCCTGAATGACCTCCAGGGCTGCCCTGACACGGGTTTGCTTAAGGTCAGCAGCTCTGCGAGTAATCCACCCCTTTGCCAGCAAATTTGATTCACCTCTTAGTTTCTCCACGTCCCTGGATGGGAATTGACTTGAATGCCCAGAGTTAAAAGGCCAGGAGTTGTGAAACATCTCCCAGGGATGGTGGCAGCTTAGAAGCAAACATGCTGATTAAATACTGCTGTAAGTTAAGACTCCATTATTGCTTCTGGCTCTAAATCACAGCTCTGGCATGCGTTAGGAGGAGGCTTGACATATCTAGCAATTAACTCTGTTGAAGAAGTGAGCAAGGTGACTCATCTGTAGGAGAAATAAAAGTGCTTTTGTGCAAAATGGGGCCGAAATAACGAGGTTTATGATGGCAGAAGGGGTGTCTCGTGGTAGAACATGAACTGAGAATCTTAATTGCAGAAAACCATTTATTGAGCACTTACTACCTGCTGGGCACTCTGCTAGATCTTCCTATATTCGTGTAATTTAAGTCTTAGAGCAACCCTGCAAGGCAGTAGTTACTATTTTCACAAGGAAACTAAGACTCAGAGAGGGCCTGAAGCCCAGGTCACCCGCAGGAAGGGATCGAGTTGGAATGTGGGCCCAGATTGGGCCAAATCTAAAGCATCCTGGTCCTAGCGAGGGGAATGGAGGAGCCGTGGGGAGGAGCCAGAAAGAGAATCCCGACCAGTGTTTGTTGAACACCCATGATACCTATTTAATCCTCATGACTATAATAGTATTCAGTGTTCCATAGTTGTAAGCTGTCACTTACAACTCAGAGCACTCAGGAGCAAATTTAAGTGAAAAAGGAGGATTTATATATTTTTTATTTTTTATTTAATTTTTAAAAAATGTTCATTTTTGAGAGAGAGAGAGAGAGCTCACATGCAAGCAGGCAAGGGGCAGAGAACGAGGGACAGAGGATCTGAAGTGGTCTCTGCACGGACAGCAGTGATCCCGATGCAGGTCTGACATGCACAAACCGTGAGATCATGACCCAAGCCAAGGTCAGATGCTCAACTGAGCCATCTAGATGCCCTGAAAAAGGAGGATTTTTAAATGGGAATCTCCTGACACTTAAGAACAGGAGACAGCCAGGCAGCTGGGATTGCTGGAAACGAGTGCTGGAGGGCTCTCATCTTGTGGAAATGGCCACTCTGAGCATCCACATCCCCCCAGGTCTCTGCCTGGGCCGGTCAAGCCTCATGGGGTTAGGTCACAGCAGACAAAATGGCTTGAGCGAGGCAGGTGTAGCCAAAGGTTGTTGGGCGTTGCTCAGACTTTAGTTGTACTGAACTCCAGTGGCTAAGTAGTTTTGTCCCCGTTTTACACATAAGGAATCGAGATTCACAGGGGGCAAATGTCCTTGCCCAAGATCACATGGCTAGTGGTGGTGAAGGGAGAGGGAAGGTTTTGAACCAGATTCATATTGTAATCACCACACATGTGCCATCCTAGAGGACAAATTGTCTTAAATTCTCCCTTTGATCAGAAGCTGGAAAAGAAAACTAGGATGGTTTAGGCTGAGAAGGGCAACTTGAAAGTCTGTATAATGTTCAGTCCAGCCTCTTTTAAGAAGCTCTGCTTTCAAGGATGGTGACCAACAAGCTAGTTTCAACAACCAGTGAAAGTCAGAACAAAAAACAGGTCTTCTGAGAACAATGTCCTGATACTCAAGGGTCACTGAGGCATGAGAGCCTGCCTGTCCCGAAGGCCACATCCATTGCTTCTCTTGGTTCTGTCCAGCCCTCAAGCTGAAATCTGTCTCGACAAACCACCCCTGGCAGAAAATTGGGACACCCTGGGGGTTTGGATGTTCTCATCTGACCTTTTCACAATCCCCAAGCAGATGGACGTGCGTGTTTTCTTTGGCTCCCTTGTTTTGCTTGGGAGCGAATGTTCATTCTTAGATCTTTCAGTTTACCCGTGGGGTGGAGAAGATGGAGTTTGTTTATAAATGAATATTTTGGTATAAGCCTGACTTGACACTAACTTAGCTACTTCAGGGATGCTTGGCCCTAAATGAACATGGATTCTGGTCTACCAAACTTGGCCAAGATAGTACACATTTTAAATGATAGGCACTTAATACAAGATTTGCTTCACTGGAAACACGACCCTGTGTTGTTTATCCCAAAAGGATTGTCTAAATCCACCGTCATGTTTGTAAATACCAACTATATGCCAGAGAGATGAGTGGGAAGGCATAACGGAGGGTATGTTTCCTTTGGGAGCAGAATGAGTCTCTAAGAGAAAGGGAAGATTTTTGTGGGATAGAGGATTTTTGAAGCTGTTTTTAAGACTGTATTAACTGATAGTGTCCTGCTTCTTGTTTTGCAGATTGGAAACCTGGAAAATTACTACCATTTTTATCATAGCAAAACCTTTAAAAGATCAACTTTGAGCAGCAGAGGCCCTCATACCTTCCTCAGGATGGACCCCCAGGTACAGATCTCTACTCTCTGGACAGGACCCTTTCCTAAGGCCTAGAGCATTGTTTGCTTTTCGTTTGGGTCTGTGCTTCTAAAAAGAGCTGAGCCTTGATTTTAATATGGTTCTACATAGTCGTTAGTTTTCTTTGTCCACTTTGAATAAAACAAGACAGATGTGTAGCAACAAATCAGACCATCTGAATGCTCAGAATATTTGGTCCCTTGTCAGACTGGAGAATTTAAATTGGCTTCAGTTTGAAGCAACAATCAAATGAGTATAGATCTGTTGATATTTTACATCTTTAGAAATCAACAGAATGCACCGTAATTAGAGGAGATAAATATCTGAATATCACCCATAACAGCAAAAAGACCAGGGAATTCAAAACAGTGTTTTAATGATTAAATTAGAGATTGGGCCGAAAGATGTTTTTGCGGTTGTCATAACACATGTCTTAATGGTTACCATGAATTTTAAAACTTGGGCAGTAAATATAACTTTTTTCCCCTTAAAAGTTCATGTGATCTTTGAGAGTAAGACAAATATAATTTGCAAAGAGGCTGACAGTTTAAGTTTTCATGTAATTCATGTTTATTGGGTGGTTAATGATACTTCCTTTCTGCATAGATTTGAGACTAATGTTTCACAAATGCCAGTCAAAACAGATCCTGGTAAGCTTACAAATTGAAGATGGTCAAGTTAGCTTTTGATGACTCCATTCATTCAGCAGGTGATTCTGGAATCCCAGCAATGTGTCAGGCTCTGTCCATAGTGGTGTCATTGGAGTGGGTGGTCAGGCTGATAGAAAATGAGGCAGTAAGTAGAAAAATATGTGATCTATCACAGGGTGATGAGTGCTATGAGGGAAAATGAAATTCATGTGAGAAGCGGTAGCAGCCCCAAATGAGGCTATTGGTAAATCATAGTTTTAGAACATGGAACTCGCCTTCTCGTGAAAGCAATGTGCTAAAATGTTAGTTTGAGCTTCCAAGCTGGCTCACGATACTATTTCAGCTATTCCCACAGAATATTTATAATAAAGTTTCCATGGAGAAATGGGTTCTTGGTGTTGTCCCAGGCCACCCCCAACTGACAATCGTAGCTCCTTTTGTATTGGCTGAGCCACAGATGGGTGGGAGAGATGGTTTATCCCTGGACACTGTACCCGCCACACCCTTCTCCAGGGCTTACCTTTGTGATGCTCTGATTCCGAGCACATGAGAAAGTGGTCCTCGTGGAACTCATTCATGTCATTGGACTGTGACAAGGCAGACATGTACATATTTCTGAGTTCATTTTATTGGTGTGTAGGCAAACAAATGGGTGGATAGATAGAAGGAAATAGATATGAGGCTCCTGGGTGGCTCAGTCGGTTAAGTGTCCGACTCTTGACTTCGGCCCAGGTCATGATCTCATGGTTTGTGGGTTCGAGC